CCCCAAAACCCCAAAACCCCAAAACCCCAAAACCCCTTTGTGATAAGAGAAGATTGAATCTTTACTTGAATTCTCAAATACAAAAACTAATAAATATCAGAAATGCGATAAAATATAACTTGATATAAAAGATAGAAATTAGAAACTGCCAAGCTTTCCTATCTTCTGAGATACTTCCAAAAGCTTGGTATCAAACCATTTTGGCTTTGTAAAACCAGCTTGTATATCAATATGTTTAGCTGAGTCATTATTTCTAAAATATTTCGTCCAGGAAGTGTCGCCATCTTTGATATTTTGAACAACTTCTGAGTCAAGCCATTCAATTCTTCTGCCATTTTCCCATATTCCATACTTATCAACGCCTGCACCTGGCATTGTGTAGCGACCAAGGCCATGCTGCTTACCGAAAGCCCAAGATCCTTGATATGTTCTCCCGTCTGCCCATTTGTAAATCCCATAGCCATGCTTTTTATCATTTTTGTACTGCCCATAAAATTTCCTGCCATCTTTCCAAAGATAGAATCCAAATCCACCCATATTATTATCTATCCATTCTCCTCTATATTTTCTACCGTCTAGCCATGAGTAAATTCCAACACCTCAAATTTTATTCATAAACCACTGGCCTTCAAAGATACTTCCATCATTCCATTTGTACACTCCATAGCCATGTTTTTTGCCTTTTTGGTATTCCCCTTCATATTCTGAATTGTCTGTCCATCTTTCACTTCCTTGACCATCTTGAAGATCATTTTTCCAATAACCATGATAAGTAGCTCCATTATTGTGGTTATATACTCCAAACCCATTAGCTTTATTGTCTACCCAGTCGCCTTCATAAATGTCTCCATCAACATGAGTGAATTTGCCTTTACCTTCAGCTTTATTAAACCTCCAAGATCCTTCGTAAATTGCTCCATCTGGCCATTTCTGAGTTCCAATACCATCTCTGAAACCTCCCTTCCACTCTCCTTCGTACACAGCTCCTGACTTGTAGGTGTACTTCTTTGTAGCTCTGGGCTGGTCAAAGTTATAAACTTTTCCTTTTTGGATAGTTTCTTGAGATTCTTCTAGTCTAAAATACCTTGATTCTTTCCTCATAACAAATAACAATTTCTCGTATTCTTTTCTTCCCCTATTTCCTCTCCGAATTGCCTGGATGTTGATGATTTTCAGAATATTTTCCTGATAAAATTTGTCTCTATCTTCTTCCTTCTTTTTATTAGGAAGAGAATGTACATAATCAACTTGGTGATCAATACTCTTAAGTCCTTCCGCTTTAATTTCCTCAGTACAAGTCCTAACTCAGTTCCCCATTTATTAAATTATTATTTCCTTTAAATTATCCAGGCTTGGGGTTTTGGGGTTTTGGGGTTTTGGGG